TCAGATAAATAAGCGTTTGTCTTGTGTACATTATTGAATGTCATTTTGAAATTCTAATGGATTATATGGTCTAAAATGATAAGTGTCTGTTTGTGCCTATGCAGCAACAACTCAACACATCATTTGATGATGAGACAGCAGCTCTTCTTAATGACTGCTACACACTGGAGGAGAAGGAGCGTCTCAAAGAGGAATGGAGGCTCTTTGAGGAACAGAAGAGAAACTTTGAGAGGGAGAGAAAGAACTTCACAGAGGCTGCTATTCGCCTGGGGAGAGAGGTACTAAAGCCTCCAGATGTGGTGCCACAGTTTTATTTAACATATGTTAAGGGTGTTGTAATTGCATTGCATTCCTCTTGATCTTTTTGTTTTCCACAGAAAAAGGCCTTTCAGGAGGATCGTGCTTCTTGGCTAAAGAATCAATTTTTGAACATGACTCCCTTTACAGACCGTAGGAGATGTTCCTCGTCAGATGGTCAAAGTGCCTTATCAATCAGTAAGTTTGTTTTTAAATTTAAGAAAAAATGCCTCTAAATGTCTTCCTCAAAAACAGGACTTTTCAGTTGTAATGGGTACTGAGCATAACTTAAATGATGACAATGCACTTCAGAGTAGTGGTTCCCAACCTTTTACTTAAAGGACCCCTTTTTTTCCCTATCATTTAGTAAACTGATGACCCCTGTAATGACATATCTTATGGATATTTCATATTCTATTCAAAACTGTACAATGAACACAATAACTGCATATAAGTATAAGTGAAACGAGTGATTTGGATGAATTCTGAGCAGATTATTTACTGTTTAGGGAACCTTTCTACAGTTCTGTCTGTATTAAGTATTTTTTTTTTTTTTCGTCTTTAACAATCATACAGACTTAACAGGATGTTTTTGACAAATTCAGTGTTATTTGTCCGTGACGTTTGGCCATTGGTTTATCTGACAATTTACTTTAGATTCACAGAAGTGAACCAAATGCTGAGATACAGGCCTACTGTGTATTTTTAAACTTTTCTTACACCCCCTATTTTTTTTTAATTTTATGAATGCTGCATGTAAACACCAGTTACAGTACAGGAAAATATTTTAAATTTACTTTGATTTGAATATCCCCCGCATTTCAGGAAGTGAGCCAGAGATGAGGATATCTTCCACAAACGCTCAGCTGGCCAAATCGTCAACCTACGCTACGTTCTCCACTCCTAAACCTACGCAAAGTGCTGCTGTGCCATCCACAACTGAACTGTACCGCACACTCCGACTCATACCAGACGGCAGGTACTATTCAGTCACTTACTATCATGGATTTGTGTTACGTAGGCATATTTGCAGTGCTGGGATTTAATTTGTGCTATTTTACTAATGTTTTGTTAGGATCAGACTCTGGTAGTGTTGGTGCCATGTCATACTGATTTTAATCCTTTTTTATTTTTTTTTCTCATTTTAGTTCCTCCAGACATTCAAATCGAGGATGCTGGCAAGAGTCCAGCACCATTGAAGATGCAGACACACGCTTCAAGTCAAGAAGTAGAGTTCGTTGTGGAGACTTGAGTATCTTCTCTTTGGGTGAAGATGAGAACAGCCTCACTTGAAGAACTTCCAGTGCCTTATTTGTGTGATTTTTGCTGTGGACTTTATCATCCATTCGTGGCTGCATTACATCACCACTGATACACACACTACTACACTTTTAAAAAAAAAAATGTTTATGTTGCTTTAAGGATCATTCACCAAAGCTGATCAAACATAAAAGCACTTTAATGATTCTGCCATGGTTCATTTCTTTTTTTGTACAATCAATACTGACAAATCAGATTGTAAGCTATATTCAAGGGAAGGTATCTACCAAGTATTGATTTGGACATATTGGAGTTGGAGAAATCTTTTTTTTTTTTTTTTTTTTTTTTATAGATTATATTAAATGCTTAAGTTTTAGTTAAAACTTGTTCATGTTTACATATTTTAAATAAATTATGAGGTATGATTTTAACAGACGCATATTGACAATAGATTGATAATGATCTACTCTGTTGGTGTAAACAACACAATAAAGATATTTTTAATTTTAAAAATGTTCATATTCTGTCTTATAATTAATGGCGCCCACTGGTGTGTTCAAATGGGAGTTGCAGTCAGAAGAAGTGTGAACAACCGGAATCCGGATGTCATCATCTTTGCTTTTGTCTCAGCATCCAGCCCAGGATCCCACCCACCAACTCAGTCTATTTTTTTTTTTCAGACAAAAAACCATACACACACCGAGAATGTCGGGCTCTAATCTTGTGGCCATGAAAAAAGTCGTACAGCAGCTCCGTTTCGAGGCGAGCATAAACAGAGTGAAGGTAAAGTTATTTGCTTTATTGTGTTGTGTGTGTGTTTTTTTTTAATTTTTTTTCTTTCTCCTCGGAGAAGTGAGGGGGAGGGAGAGGAAATCTCAACCCGCTAACAACGCTAGCTGGTGCCAGGAGCTAGCAGCGTTAGCCGCTAGTCAACAGGCATTAGCAGGGCGTTGCTTTGGTCGAAGGGGAAGTATTTAAAACAGCGGATTTAAGTCCGAGAAACTCTTGAGATTAACCTCCTAAAATGTTAATGTCGAGACCTTTATTCTATTTTTCTTTTTTTTTTTTTTGCTAACGGCAGCTAGCATCTAACCTAGAGACTCGGGTTGTAACCTAACTTAACCTAAAAGTAAAACTGGACCTACTTTATGTGCTCAATACATGATATAATATTTTTCTACATTGATTTCTTATTTTAGTTTCTAAAACTTGGAGAATTCATTGACTATATAAAATGAATCAATAATGTGGATGTAACCTACTCAAGAAATCCAGAGGGTCCTCTTAATGGAGTTCAGCAGCACTTTGTGTAATACACTCTCATTTGAGAAGCACAATTATATAAACATACAATATATTATATCTCCTCATTGTTTCGGTTCCTTGTAAATGAAGCTAGCTATTTAGTAATTCCCATATAATTGGGGGGGGGGTTTAAGGGTTTAAAAAAAGATTAGCCCAAATGGGAGAAGCAGAGGCCAATATCCTGACTTTTAATCTCTGGTGTGGGTCAAGCTTAAAAAATACTGGATTTTTAAATTCCCCTAATGCAGTTCAGTTCAGTCTTTCCTGGTCTAATCATGGTTATATTTCCATACTTTTAAAAAAAATCTCACTCCAGAGTCACAGGGGACAGTATACAGCAGTTGTTTTTTCAGTGAGTAGTACTCGTGATGAGTAAACTGTGGAAAAATGGAGTGACCTTGTTGTGTTTTTACATTTTTGTTCCCCTTTTGTCCCCCCAGGTCTCCCAGGCAGCGGCGGACCTTCAGCAGTTTTGCCTGCAGAATGCCTTGCAGGACCCTCTGCTCACCGGTGTGTCCTCCAGCACCAACCCTTTCAGGCCGCAGAAAGTCTGCTCCTTCTTGTGAAACCACTGTATTCATTGGTCAGTCTTGGTGTTTTTATCGTCCACACATTTTTAAGATTTTGCTCTGTATACTGTTGAGAAATCACATATAACTGTACTAATATAGCTGAAATGTAGTAATAATAATAACAATTTACACCCCTGGGCTATTGTTCACTCATATCATCCTGAAAAAAGTTGAAACCTAGAAAATATCTTTACAAAAACAAACCTACTTCATTTCATTCAAATCAAATCCTCCGCCTTAATGTCTTTTTGTGGTTTTTAATTTTCTCGTTCTGCAGGCCTTCATTTGATGCTACAGGGAAAAGTTGACCTCAACACTGCTCCTCATGCCAAGCCATTATACTGCCACGGGATCTCGAGTGTAGAACACATTGGAATCATGTCAGGAAGATGACCATCTATTTTCAGCCACAGTAGAAGAAAGGAGACAGGTTTATTTTTCATGGCACAGTATGATTTTCAAGTAAATTATTGTGCCTTTTCTATTGTTCTATTTTAGTCATCACTGTTCTTGACTTTTTTGTATTTAATGAATAAAAACATTCTTTACTACTCCAATGCTTTATTGATTGGCTTTTTTTTTTTTTTTTTTGCAACTCGGCAAATTATTTGAGAGCACATAACTGCTTGTAAAAAAAATCAACGGACAGATCGCTGTCAGAAGTATTTTAATGCATTCTAGAGATAATTATAGAAGCAGCTGATGTTTAGATCATGACATGGAAGAAATTAAGAGGATAGCTCTGAGGTCATTGTATTTCCTTTGTTTTGTATTTCAATACAGAGGTTTTTTTTAAAAAGCAGCGAAAACTATTTTTGGGCCTACTAATTTGTTTGATCGACTGGAAGGCGGCCAGTGTACTAAATACCAGAAAAAATGTATTACATTAATGATGTTGTTATGGATTATGGGTAGTGAAGGAGAACGTGTTTTCTTGCAGTCTTGCATTATCAGGAAAATAGTAAAAGTGATAAGAAAGTGAGATGAAATAAACTGCTTTGAATAAAGGTCTAATTGGAAAAGCACAAATTGAAAACCAAAACTTAAAACAACTTAAATAAACTAAAAAATAAACCATGAAACAAATATAGTTGAAATGTAATAATGAATATTGTTGAGACCCCTGGGCTATTGATCACCCACATCATCCTAAAACAAAAAGTTGAAACCTAGAAAATAAAATAACAAAAACACTACAATTCAAAATCAAAATGATAAAATAGGATTGAATGTTTCTTTTGCTGTGTTGCCTATATTTTATTTATTCATATGATTATTTAATTTTGTCATAGTGGGGCTCATCAAGGGAGTAGAAGTATAAAGTAACATAAAATTTAAATACTAGTTGTGTTAGTTGAGTAAATGTACTCTTACTTACTTCTCATCGTTAGTCGTGATCAAAACAAAAAGCCAATAATATCAATCACAGACTTTAGAGGAACACTAATGCCCAGTCATACACATAATAATAAAGCAGCGCTACCAGCCCGCGACTGTTCCCGCGGTTCAACTCTCGCGAGAAGTGCGTGAACTCAATGATGGTGAACGACACTCCCATGAACACCGGAGACTGAACCCAGGTCGGTATTATCGCCCCGCTCCTTCAGTAGGTTTAACGGAGCTCGAAAATAACAACTGCAACTCGACCAGCCGGATGAACCCGCACTCGCAGGTGAAGAAAGAATCATGGGACATCGTTACTGTGGAAACGACGGTAACTTATTTTGTTAACGGTAGTATGTTAAACACAGTAAGCTAACAAAGGTGGTTGTGTGAGGTCCAGCCATGATATAGTTATATATATATATATATATATATATTGGTTTGCTGCATGATGCCGTCTGTCTTGTCGTTGTTTGTACCAGTTACAGCTATCTGCAAGAAAATGGTTTAACGCTAACAAGATGCTAACAGCTAACGGAGGCGTCACCATCGCTGATGTAAGTTACCGCCAGAAGCGGTTATAAGTTAGCTGTTAGCTGTTGTTTTTGAGCTGAAGTAGCGAATAGTTGACGTTATACAATCAGCTCCAAGAAGACCGACTCTGTGGCTGAGAAAGGTGTCCGGGCAAGTTAAGAGTGAACCACAGCTGGCTCGTTAAACCCCATCATGATGCTCCAGGATGGGTCAACACAGCTCCTCTGCCTCACAGCCAGCAGCGGGGTTCCACTTTTCACAAGAGGAGTTTCCAAGCAGCTGCCTTTCTCTGTCATCGGCTCCCTGAATGGTGTCCACATGTTCGGAGGTGGCCAGGGAGTAGCGCTGTCCTGCTGCGAGACTGAGGGCGGCGGGAAGGTGGTGTGGAGAGTGTTTCAGGACAGCGTGATGCTCATCGCGGTGACTGGAGGTGGACATGGAGGTGGACATGGAGGTGGACATGGAGGTGGACATGGAGGTGCAGGCGGCAGCAAAGGAGAGGAGGTCCGTTCACAACGCCTCCTGGAGAATGTGTGGAACTGCATGGTGCTGGTGTTGGGGCAGGATGAGCTGGCCAATGTCAGGAATGTTGAGAGGCTGAAGAGGGACTTGAGGTCCTGCTTTGGCCTAATTGATCAGCTGTTGGAGGGGAGTCAAGATGGCATTCTGGGTAACCTAACACACTGCGCTGATTCCCTTCTACCCCCTAACCCCACTCTTCTTCAAGAGGCTGTGGATGGCTTCGCTCAGGCTGCAGACAGTGAATTTGGCTGCCTCATCGTCCACGGGCGGATAGCTGCGGCAACTGAGAAGTGGTGGCGCCTGGCACCGCAGGAAGTTGTGCTGCTCTCTGCTTTGATGCGGTCCCTCTCAGCCTCTGGATCGACCTCTTGTGATTACCCAGTTTTCCTTCCTCAGGGCAGCCCCACTGTCGCCCACCGCCTGCTCCGTTTCCAGCTGCTCCCTGGGGCAGATGTGTGCGTGCTGTGCGGCCCGACTCCTACCCTGCACAGAGCTGAGAGTGGGCTGGTGGTTCGTTTCTGGACACCCCTGGTGGAGACCCTCAGGGATTGCCTGGCTGTTGGAGAGCGCTGCTTACCAGGATCTGTATCATTGCGCCCTGATGTGCTGGCACTTCTCCTCATCAACCGTGAGACACGTCGCTCAGTCTCCTGCGTGCGGACTAATCATCCGCTTGGTGACCCTAAATTACCCTCTAAGGCCCGCTGCTGGGAGCTACTGAGGCTCTTCTACATCTTCAGCACGACACGCTACTTCACCCAGGAGGAGACTTTGTGTGTCTCCCCAGAGGAGAGGGCTCAGAGAGGCACCACTGAAGACTTTGTCCTTGGATTCTCCCACCAGCCGCTACAGTGCTACCTCGTTACAGAAGAGTGCAAAAGCTATGGACTTCAGACACCACAGCACCAGCTCTACCTGCTTATCCCACTGTCAGTGCCCACCTTCGCACTGCGTACAGTGGCCACACAGACTCTTTCTGATATAGTTACAGCCACTGGGTTTTAACTTACTTTGTTATAACAATCTTAATTTTCAGTAAACCCACCATCTTCAACCTAATAATATATTAATTTACAGGTGAATAGCTGTTCACCTCTAATGTGAATTACCCTCTGATATTTAGATTGTTCTTATATCTTCATTGATGACAGCAAACATATAATTACATGATGACTAACAAATCTAGAGTTATTTAAAAACAAAAGCTTCCATCTTTTGAAAAGACTGATTAACTGACCACTGGTAAGAGATGTACAATGCAAAAGGGTATCACTGTTAATGGTCTCACCGGGTATTACGAAACTACTGCTCAAGAATTCAATGCTGCTGATAATATGAAAACAATGTCCTACCAACGTGAACTGCTTTGAGCTATGTTTTGCATTCAAGAGATAAGTAATTGTTGCACAATTGTGTCTAACCTCACTGGCCTCAAGGCTGTCCCTCTCACTGCCACGAATGCTGGTTAGATTTACTGCATACTGACATTATCACCAGGATTGCACTGTATTCCAACATTTAAGAGAATCATGTGAAACGGTAACACTGGGATGAATAAGTGCCTGCTGTTTGTTGCTTTGACATGTGGAATCGTTTTGCTTCAGAAATGTTGACATTATTTGTTTGTACTAGTGATCCTAAATATAGTTGGTTACTTTTTGTGGGTCTTTGTGTCGTTGAATGGTTCATTCATTCATTTTTTTGACCACTAATGTGATAGTGATACTGTTTTGGGCTGTAACGGTTGAACATTTCATTGGAAAACTTGAGGGCTGTGCAACTGCAGATAAGATCTAATCCACTAGCAGTAACATTTTTCTAATATGTGTTTTCATATCTTAGACATTTTCTTGACAACTATGAGGCAGAGAGAGTGGACACTAGTTTTCTTAAAGTTAAATACACTCATATACTCCAAACTAAAAGCATCTGTCAGTAATTCAGTTGAATAATGCATACTTTTTACATATGTATAGAACAAAAAACAACAATGTTCTGTGTATTCTGCGCCACATATTGCTATAACAATAGTAGCAGTAACTGTTGACAAACCACACACACCATTACTGAATGAACACTTGAATGTGGAATTATAATTTTAATATTTTGTGTTGTTTTTAACTACACTGATAATTTCAAGATGCTTATTCTAGTCTTACATTTCAGTGTGAAGGCACTGAAAGTCACAGTAACATCCCAGTACACAGTTTCTAATCACAGACGCTCTGCTCTTTGTGTGTGTGTGTGTGTGTGTGTGTGTGTGTGTGTGTGTGTGTGTGTGTGTGTGTGTGTGTGTGTGTGTGTCCTGTGGTTGAAGAGAGTACATGACACACACACACACACACACACACACACAGCCATCCCAGTTTAACCTGGGAAATCTGAACCAGCCCTTTTATCTTCTGTCTGACCCCCCCATCGAGGGACTCTAAACAATGCAGAACAACAGAGACACAAAACACTGAACAATAACCTATGAGAAATAAAGCCCTTAATAGAGGATACGGTGATATAATGGAGTAATAGAGGGTAACCTAAGCGGGCTCCAGTCGAGATAGGAGGAGCATTCACAAGTATTTTAATTCACCATGTACTAATTCATCGTCTCCTCCCAAACCCGCATGGAGCATTCAAAAAGCGGGGCGCAGCGCGGTGAGCTCAGGATAAAGTTGGAAGCGGCACCCGGCTCACTGGTTGTTTCCCTCTGAGCCACGTCAGTCGTCCAAAGCAGTTTCGGCTCAGTAACCGGAGAACCGAACCTGATTGACAGCCTCACGGTGCGTAGGATAACGGGGGTAGAGGTAGAGAGAGAGGGGGGTGGGATAACGGTTTACACGAAGCCACACAAAGGGGGAGGGTTAGCTGGCTCTAGGGTTGCCATGTGTGCAGGGAACAAACTCCAAAATTTCAGAGTTAAAAGCTTAGTCAGTGTAATGTGGATGCGGACAGGGTCAGAAGGAACATCCTGGGATTTAACCACAATTTTGTCGAAGTCTCCATTAGCACTCCCCCCCCCCCCCCGAAGGGTCCAAAGGTCCGAGGTCTGAGTCATTTTTAGGAGCGTGGTGCCTTCACTTGCACAACTTTTCTCGAGTGAAGCAACCGGTGTGGTGCAGGTCTCTGTTGCACCGCAGCAGACGCTTTTGAAAAGTCCCACAACTTGTTGAAAGAAAGAAGGCAGTGTAAACATGTCAGCCACACGGATGCAGCTGCTGTCACCCAGAAACGTCCTGCTTTTAAGCCAGGGTCGAAACGAATTGTTTGCCGGTTGCAGCGGAGCGCGGCGGGCAGGCTGCGGTGTTGGTGGTGTTGGTGGTCCCAGGGTCTGCTCACTGACCTCTCACCCTCTGTCCTCCTCTCCCGGCAGAGCTTTATCGAGTCTGAGTGCGACGCGGCGCGGGCTCCCCAAAGAGAAAATGTCCGAGAATGGAGTGTCGTCCCGGGCCAAGGTGTTGACCATCGACACCATGAACCCCACGGTGAAGAAGGTGGAGTACGCGGTGCGGGGGCCCATCGTGCAGCGGGCTGTGGAGCTTGAGAGGGAGCTCTCTGAGGTTTGTACAACAGTCTGATCTCTGTGCTCATACCACCTGTATCAATATATGTGTGCATGTATATAAGTATATGGACCATAATTGTTTCCCAATTCCTCATCTGTGCATAAGAAATGCATTTTATTTGCCCGTTATAGTCTTATTCTGCTCATACTGTGCCAGAAAAGATGTCCACCTGTTGTAGAGCAAGAAGAAATGTATTATTCCACCAATCAATCTAAAAGCCATTTTACTGTTAAGACTCATATCTCCCAGGACTTGCTATAATAAACAGTTATTTCTAGTCATTTGAGTCTCTTTGAACCTTGACACATTGAATTCAGTTTAAAAGTGGCTCTGCGTGCTTATTCAGTGCTTGTGGCTTTTTTTTTGTGTGTGTGGCTGAGAATGAAACCAATCAGTATCTTTCATTAGATATAATTGCACATCAGCAGGTTTCCATTCCTGCTTATGCTCTCACTATTACCTCCTAAACATTATCCCAAAAGAAAACTGTTATCAGTTGTTCTGCTGCTTACACACCCTCCTATCAAAGTCCATCAGCTAGTCAGTGATTCCTGAGGAGGTTTATCATGAAAGAAACTGTAGACTGTGATCCAGATATTTTTTTTTGTAGCTTGATGTTAATTTCTAACCTGTTCTTAAGCCATTCTTGATGTTATTGAGTTGTCTCTGTCAGCCCCCTCCCCCCTGTTTCTAGACCACAGTTACTTATGGAGAGATCCTCAGTGTGAGGTAAAAGTCCATATTCTAACCCAGAGACTTTGTTTTTCTGTCCTGTTTAGATCTGTTCCTCACTGTTTGACATACTAGTTATGAACATATCTGTTGCTACACTTTATCTGCTTTGTCCAACTTTCAAGGCTGATCACTGTTGTAGCCTTCATTTTAACAGCTGTAGGCAAGCATAAAGTGTTATCTGTGTAGCGAATGGTCTTCCCAAAAGTACAGAAATATGTAGGAATATCAAGTTCTCTGTTCTTCTGTCCAGAACAACTCTTTTTAATCTACAGTGTGAACTGATTTTGTTTTTGTCCAGTATATTTGAGGTTATTTCCTTAAATACAGACCATTTGTACATTTCTCTTAAAAAAAAAAAAATCTACTCGATCCCTTCCTCTTGCATGGTTTATGGTGATGTGGCAACCAGCTGTTAGTGTACCAAGTGCAGTCTGGTGTGAAAACTGTCCTCTCTTGAGTGCTTTGCTCAGGAAGGGATGAGTATGTGAACAGGTTCTTGCACAGGTGAAAGGCGGCGGCAGCATCGTCCAGCAGGGACTGTAATGACAGTCGTGGCCTTTTTAACCAGATGACTCACCGGCACCATGGATTTTATGTTCTGTTTGCTTTGACCAGTGCTTATCTGCAGCTGACCCCCTTTCTCTATAGGATATCTATTCTCTTCTTGACCAAACAAGAGTTCAGGCATTAATCTATTGATATTCGGATGTTCAAAAAGCAGAAGAAAGTGCAGCTGGATTCAGCTGGTAAAACACTGTCAGGATATATTAAGGGATAGGAGAAATAAGAGAATAATCTTACAGCTGCTAATGAATCCTTTATTCATCACATTTCCATGTAGGATGGGGGAAGCACCGCAAGTTTGTTCACTCACTGCAGACTGTTCCGCTGCCAGTGTTTTCAATAGTGCAGCACCCAGCCTGAAGGCAAAAATGTACCCCGAGTAATCATCTACAGTCCTCCCATTGTATTCTGCAGAAGCACTGGACTGTGCTGGCTCTTTGGTCAAAAACAGATTCCCCTTCATTTTACAATCACCTTCCTTTCAAACCGCAGTTTGGACGGGGTTGGGTTACTTTGGGAAACAGGTCACAGAGGTATTCACACTTTTGTCAGTGAATTAAACACACACACACACACACACACACACACACACACACACACACACACACACACACACACACACACATGAATGCACACTGTGATCTCCTACTCCAATTTCCTACACAACTTGTTTTCTTTTTTCTGTTTTTGGGGGGCGGGGGACTGAGATCTTAATTTACAGCAGCAAGTGCATCCTTGTTCTTGTTTGTTTTCCTTATGCTAAACCTGTGTTGGTTGTTGTTTCACAGATTTTCTAAATGGGGAATGGAAACCAGACTTAGCGCCAAATTACTGTACCATTTAACAAGTGCACAGATAAATGCTTCACATGCAGCTATTACATTGACGTCTTTGTTTGTCCTAATGAGCAGCGAGATGACCGTGAATGGGGACCTTTTTGAGAGAGTTGCTACAGGGACAGACCATACACAGACTCTTTCCACATATTCAGACAGAATCAAAAGCAAAATGCTAAACTTTAAAAATGTTTTCCATTGTTGAATCCATGATGGGTTTGCAGTAGAAATGCTTCGATTTGAATATTGAGTGCATGTGGCATCAACTTACTGGCTGCAAAGTGAATTTTCTTATCTCGGTTTAGTATCCTTTAGCTGTGCGGTATGCTGTTAACTGAAACGTTTCCATTGTAAAGCCTTGGAAGTAAAAAGAAATACTGCCTGAGCTGTACATCAAGAGCACAGTTTCACCTTCTGTTGGTACTTAAGCATTGTTTGTGGGCAGTTTTCATCAGCGGTGGAGGACAAAAAGCACAAGCCTTTTTGAGTTGGTTCCCAGGGGCAGAGGTCAGAGTGTTTCTGAAAGACTCTCATCATGAATGGGCGGTACTTTTCACCTAGGGGTGTTACTCACCACGTATAATGTTATTGGTCCAGACAGAGAGACGCCTCTAGTAAGTGACCAATGAGGGAGCCAGAGAGAGAGGCTTAAAATCTGAACTGGATCGGACAAATCAAACAAACAGATTGTTTTGATTTCCGCAGGGTACCAGCGTGCAATTCCACTTGTGGCTTCTCTGCAGTGTCACGCTGTTCCCAACATCTGGTGTTAACAGCGTGTGTGTGCTTGCTTGTATATGTGCACGTGTCTGTCCGCATTGCTGTTTGTCAGTGGTCTCAGATCGTCTTTCAGTAACGTTATATCATTGACCCGGGCAACAGTAAATTAATACTTTTATTTTGGTAATATATTCTGCTAATTATTTTTGAGGTGACGTTTACTGCTGCTCTGCTGTCATACATC